TACCTGTAAACCTCATTAAACCCACCAAAATTCACCTCTGCCAACTTGCCTCTGCTTTTGGGACATCAATCCAACACCAAATCGTGACATTTACTATACGGTGTTCTCATCCAAATGGAAACCCACATGGAGCAGATTTAAAGAGAACTTCTCAGTCTTAATAAATAATGCATTGATTGCGAAAAGCAGCCAATGCAGTGCCAGAAATACCAGCTGTAACTTCAAATGCAGGGCCCCCTTGATCGCCCCTGCCTACAAATACATATCCATAGTTTAAATACACAAAAGACTAAATTATCATGGCAAATAAAGCTGCTAGGGTATTGTGACAGCTGTTATTGTAAGATATGGAGATGGAAGATGTCCTTTGGCATTCAGTTCCCCCATCTATGTAACATTATTTCAAAAATAGAATAGCTGAAGGTGGCAGCAGATAAAATCTGATTCTTAGGCAGAAAAGAAAATATCTAGCAAAATATATATATATATTATTAAGAATAAACTGATCAAGTTATTTAGGTTGACAATTAATTGGTAGATCAAGAGAAAACTTGTGAGTGCAGCAACAAGGACATGTCATTTAAGTACCTGGTTCTACTATGTTGCCAGGTAAGGCACAGTATAAAGGAACTTTATACATGTTGTCTATACTGTATACCTATGAGGCTGGCATAGAACTGCTCAGGGATGAGAATTAAAAGAGGATTAAATCCTCAGCTTTGTCTTAATATGATTTTATATAGAAATGTTTTAATGACATTGTCGGCCGATATCAGAAAGCCTGTCATGATACGATTTCCGTTGAATTTGAAATTCTTCAATTGATATGATGGGATCCTGATTATCTGTCAATCTATCACAATTATTTACACAATTTCAACTCACAAAAAACAAACATGACTCAATCATTTTATTTCTACACTCTTACAGGCATCAAGCATTTAAATAAAAAAAAAGCATTTTTCTATATACTCAGAAAAAGATAACATGTAATAATAACAAAGGATAATCTGTTCACTGTAGTTTAATTCGACGTGAATATCAACAGAAAAGTAAACCTTTACCATGGCAATGTGGATTGAGCATCTGTGTAATTGCACTGTTCATTATTTATTAATGTGTAAATCAAAGTACTATTAAACCCCTATAAATTATTGGACCTGTCAGCCAGCACCCTCTGAAATGCTGCAGTTGCAAAGAACACAACGCATGGTTCCTCTTACTTTCCTTCTGCATCTCTATGATCAGCTCTGTGCAAAGCTTGAAAATAGTTTTCACAGGCAATGCAAACCAACTTATTAATGTTCCAGCTGGGTTTTTCCACCTCTGCAAACACACTCACTCCAATGTATTTCATTAGATATGTTCTGTAGCTGTGCTTAAACCTGCCATTGTGCAACAATTTCTACAAATGATGTGCATTTTAATTCACTTGCAAAACAGAAAGGAATACTTTACAATTTGTAACCAACTGATGTTAACTATCATTAATGTTACATCAGCCAATTATTGGTTTTGAGGCTTAATGTGGCTTAGTTTTATCATTTGAATAAAACCACTCCTGCACACCAATGCCAAGAATTGTTGTGGTAGAATTATGGCAAGAGATTAAAAATGAAAGTGAAGGACTCAAAAAGACTTAAAGGACTGATAAGAAAGGCAGAGTGCGAGAGCATGCATGAGTCCATTTCTCCTCGAGCAAGCTACATTTAAAGGTTGCTCTTCTTATATCTCATACAATTTTACTGTGTTCGAAACATCCGCCCTAACCCCTAAATCCCTCAATCACAACATAGAGCAGGGACTTAATAGCGGACTATAGTGAACTCAATTAACTTACCATTCAGACAGATGATCACTAATTTTTGCTCCTTTGGTCAGGTAACTCCTCCTCCACCTAGCGGTGCCTGTGCCATCTTTGTTATAGTCGCTGCTGTCGGGTAGCAACAGCCTATGGCGACAGCGGGCTGCTGATACAGCAAATCCCACAATGCTTTGCTAGGAGAGCTTTCTGCGCAAAGCATTCTGTAATATATATCCCTCTTGTGAGGCCTTTCTTTTCTTCTCAAACACTTCATGGACACTTTTTCTCTTACGACCCTCTGCCATTTGCAAAGAACCATGGTGAGAAAGGTGAGCTTCTCACGAGAGAGATACGCCTGAAAGTGAGTACACAGAAAACATAGCTAACGATAAGCAGGTAGGACTACCTTACGTAAACCTTTCACCAGAATGATTGACAATTAGGAGGACCACTTATTTAGATGATTCACCCGGAAATAAAAGATTGTGCTCTATACATTTCATTCATCATTCATTAAACTGGCTTACAATCTTGTGTTCAAATATCATAAACTGATGAAATTATTTTGAAATTTGCAGAACTCAAAATATAAATTCTAAGTAAATTATATAAATAAGTCCTGATGGATTATTGAGGGTATTGATTTTTACAGTGTAGACAGCTCTGCAAGACACCTATTTTTGCAGTTTAGTATCAAAAACGTTGATTCAGGGATGAGTAGTCCTTTGATATTGAATTTGTTGTGGTAATGTGAAAAAAACTGAAAAAGTTCCAGGGATATAAATACATCAGTGTGGTAAAATCATTCTAAAGCTTTATCAGTCAAAATGCTTAGAAGAAATTTAAGGGATGCTGGGAAAGAAGAAAAGCCCATTATTAGAAGTGAATGTTAGGAATTGATTTTTATTAATATTAACATCAGATGCAAAGGAGAGTTAAACTTACAGAAATACAGATATCTCAACCAGCAGAAAATAAAGCACAGGCCAGATAGACAAAAATCCAAAAGCTAATTCTTAAGGTCATCTGATAAAAAAGGCGGTCTGACAGACAAGCAGACATGTTTGCGTGTCTAGCTGAAGACGATGACTCACCCTCTGTCCTGTGGCCAAACTGCAGAACAAGGACTTTGGACCTTTGCCGGACCGAGCAGGCAGTGTTGTGTTTGTCACTGTGCATTTATGTCCCTCATTAAATAACAGATCAGTATAGATAGAACTGGAATGGCTGCATGTGGAAGAGAGGCCTGACGTGACCTCCTAATATAACCAAGAGGACACATTTCAGGATGACACAAAGATACCCACCAGGGGCAGCTGTCAAATTCCATCTTGTGTTCTTATTCTTATGGGTAATACATATACATGTATGATTGTAGTACTCTCTTTTGGCTTCAAAAGACCTCTGACCTTTTTCTGCCTGGAGGCCTTAAAGGTTCAGCAGCGGATACTGCCAGACTATTGAGAAAAAATAGGTGCTTCTGTAAATTCAAAATATAAGCATATATAAGCAATGACAAGTAAATTGTCCTATAAATAAATATGATAATGATGATAAGTTAAAATGTGTCATTGCTTCTTCCGTTTGTATTGTGCACCAAATTACCATGTAAATTTGAGTAGTAATCTCATATGTTGCAGCAGCAGGGCTACAGCTTTTTCTTCATGATGAATATTCAAATTTTCCTTCTGCAACATCTTTTCTCCTTTTGAAAAGGTCAGCTGTCACATTCTCCTACTACAACCCCCATCCCCCTGCCCCTCTTTACCTTTTTATCTCTGAGATTTTCACCAGTCCCTCTACTAACTAGCCTTTGTATTTGCTTTACTTGCTTTGCATCTCACTCACTAGTTGGTTCTCATTTCTAGGATTATTCTAAACTGATTTGTTTTGTTTTTGTTTGCATTGAAATTGCTTGCGTACAGTGAATTTTGAAAAGCGGAGAAGGAAATGGGCTCCTAAAGGGGGGCTGCCATGTCCCCAAGTGGTTGGAGATTTGCTTGTGATCTGTCTTGCTCTGCCAAATGTTCTTAGTACATCTATCATGCTCTGA